GAACCGCAACAAGGGATTGTTCCCTTTGTCACTTATCTGTCGTGAAATGATCGGCTTACATCATCGGCATGTCGTTACGCTAAGGCTTACTGAACAAAGCAGCATACATATCAATACCAAAACAGAGAAGACTGTGTTTAAATAGAATAAAGGACCAGTCTGAAGCCAGTTTAACAAACAGCCGTGTTGTTTTTGTAATTTATTTTCGTTCTTCATCTGTACGCAAAACAAAGATAAAAAGCTCGAATATTATTTATTTAAAATAAGTTTATTATTACAATGGCAATTATGAAATCATGTTTGTTTTGGATAAATAGGCATTGGCGTTTTATAGATTGTCTTCGGATATTGAATGTTTTGTATTGCTTAGTGGCATTAAAGTTTTAATCATACCCTCGGGAGGATATGGTTGAAGATATCCAGAGAATTATTATCTTGTCTTTAAACTTAATTTTTACTATAGGCGGCACTGGTTAGAAAATAACACGGTATTCTATTAAGATACTACAAAGCCGCACAGATTCAGCAAGAAAGTTTCCTTAGTGAATCAACAATGCTTTATAGGTGTGTTTGATGTACTTGGTGTCACTATCAAACACGAGCTTAAACTCATCGAATACATTATTATACGTAAGCTAATTAAATATTATCCGGAGGGTAATTATTTTTAATATATGCGAGTTCAAAGTTTTGATAGTCAACTCGTTTGAATCATGTGAATCACATTTTTTGTCGAATAATAGAATATTAAAAGTGCGTTCGTATAATAGTATTAATATAAAACATGAATAGGACAGAATAATACAAGTATTAAAAGAAAATAACAATAGCCTGATTATCCATAAGCCAGTATATTGTTTGATTGTCGAACTTTTCAGATTATTAGGTTTTGTGTGCATAAAATTTGTGGCTAATTGGCTTTGAAATATTTAATCATGAATTCTATTAAAATCTTGAATTTTATTTGAAAATAATGACATTATGTAACCAACTTTAATTTCATCTCTTTATGATAATTAAAATAACAATAAACATTTTTAAGAATCGTTTGATGTGGTTTAAACTATTATGAACATTAATATTTTAAACAGTTTTGACAAAAGAATCTAGCAAATAAAAAGGTCGCTATTTTTTTAAATTCTATGATATTGTACCTAATTAAGAAAATGATTGACAATACAGGATTATTAACGTTTGGAGATCCATAACTCTTTTTAAAATAATTTTTTTTTTCAATTTTCAGAAGACAACGTTTAGCTAATTTTTATAAAAAAAAACTGTCACTTGGTTTTTAAATTTAATTAATTTTTGTATGTTCAAATTTAATATGATAAATAATATTGTAAATTTACATTTTATAACTTCAGCCGTTTCTGAAATTATCGGTTCAGTTATAACATTCAATACACTAATTAAGAACAAATTCTTTTTTTTTTTTAAATCATCAAATTTATTGAAAAAAATTAATTTTTTATATTTTAGAATATATTATTTATTTATTGTGTAGCGAGTAAGGACGTATAATATAAATATTTTATGTATTATATTATTTTAATAATATCCATTTCTTAAGCTTATCAAAATATCGTATATGTTTATCAAATAAAATAAGTGATAGTTAAATATCAGTTTTTATAATAAAATAACAAGTTAAGTTACTTGTGTTTTAACGAACTTTTTCATTTACTTGTTCTCATTAATCTCACTTATATCTTGTAAAGTAACGTTTAATAAATGATTCGAGGATTCGATTGCTTATGTGAACTTTAGTAAATATCTTGGTCTGTCTATTCATAACTAATAATATATAAAAACATAATTAATTAGTGAAGTATGTTGCTGAGTTATAAGTAAACTACATGAATATTTTATTTTTTATATAGAAAAAATAAGATTAACAATAGAAATGTTTGTTCTATTCGAATTATTCATACCTTGCAAATTAAATGTTAGCATATTATTAGTACCAGTATCATTTTAACAGTTTAAAAATCTATAAAAAAAATATTTGAGGTATAAAATAACATTCACATACCACATGTTTTTCTTTGAAGATTTAAATTCAACTTGATAAATAATTTGCAGTGTCTTTTTTCTTCGTAGAAACATTTAGATATTTTATGGACTCGAAGGACTTTCATATTTCCAATAACTTAATACGTTTCATAGTTCAAAAGAAATTAATAATTTTAAACTACGTTAGTCGTATGTTTAGTTTAAGTGGTTTCGCCTTTTAAGGTAGATGAAGTAAAAGACGGTAAAATATCTGCTCATAGAATATAATTCATCGTCACTTAAGCTGCAGTCCATCAATTACCATTGCTTTCACTACAGTACCACAGGATTGAGCAAATGAAAACTTCTCTTGTTAAATTGATCGATGTTGCAAAGTTTTAGGCAGAAAATTTCGAATCCTGACTGAAATGTCCTAACTACCAGAAGTTTCCGGTTGTAGTTTATAGAAATCCATACAACGTTCAATTGAATAACAGACCTTAAGTGCTCAATGAGGTAATAATCGAATGTCGGCAAATACCGACAATTAGTGGCATATTATCAGCGTTTTGAAAATCTTTACAGTTGATTGTACACATTGTACGGAAAGTTTTATTTGAAGCTTTAAATACTGTTATTGCGGTGTTTATATTTCATCGTGTTTTAGCTTATCTTATTTATTTCGTGATTTATTCAATCAAAATCTACAATAGTTCTGTTTGCAATTTTTTAATGAAAACAAAGGGCAGTACTCTAGATGACAGAGGTAAACGTTTTCGATAGACATCATTCAGAAAGCAAATTACACAAGACCGGCAATATCTTTACACTTGGCAATATAAATGACACCAATGAAAACAATTGTTCCCTCTCAGAAAATATATGCACTCCAAATAGACAATACCGAAGCAAGGATATCTAAGTGGCTGTAAAAAGGCCATTGTCTACGTTGACTATTGAAGTTACTACAACAATGTATTTTTGAAAGGGCATAATATATTATCTCCAATTATGAATTTATTTTTTATATATGTATTTTTTTAATTATAATACATACAATAACTATTGTACGTAATATGTATTTGTTTTTGGGAGGTTATTATTTGTATATTCCTAATTAGAATTTTAATTGGGTTTATTCAGCCACGACGTTGAACCATGCAAACGAACATTGTTTATTGTCCCTAAGGCGAGTACGTTTTTACTACAGTGTAAAAAATAAAGAAAAATTGTAATTTGATTTGTTGAACCGATCGCGTACACTTTTACAGTTGTATCTTTTCCGTTGTTATGATTAAACATATGAAATTAGCACATTTGTCATTGACGATATTATTTCTCTTTAATGCAATGAAATTTTGGTGTACATGGAAGTGAATAGGTTATTAATAAAATTATTACATCAAAATAGATATTAAATTAAAATGTTGTCAGTGATATTTCAATCCATGCAATATTTTTCAGTAATTTTATTATTTAATGCAAGTTATATCAGTTTGATGGCATGCAAGTCACATGACTCCACAAATGTCAACATTTCGAGATAGAATGTTTTATTAATTGTGTTTTCAGTAGATCAGATTTGCAAAATAAAAATGTTTTTACAGAACAGCAACAATAAATGATGTTATTATTTTATAATTTTATAATATAGAATCCAACTATCGGCGATTGCGGTATGTTGTAAATTTTATGTCGTATTAGTAAAGATCGAGAATAGTTTTCATCGAGTCATATAAAATAAATAATGATTTCCAAAATGGCATGGAATTTTATTTATTTCATATAGAAAAATACGATAAAATATATAAGATTTATTCGTTGTAGAACTCACGACGATATTATAATTTTAAAAACTTTAAAAATGTTTAATTAAAAATAACAAACAAATATTGTTTTAAAAGTATCTATTTAAAATGCTCATGTTTTTCTTCGAGTAACGTCAAAAATTACTCCGAATAACTTCACAGTAACATTAACTTGGACTTATTTTTTTTTTTAACGAAACATACGCATAGATCACTCGTGTATTTAGCTGCAAAGCTACGAAAAATTGGCGATGACTATAAAAGGGTATACCTGGAGACTCGTGTGGTTTTATCCTGGGACCTATATAACCCGAAATAATTCACGTGCCGTCAACTCCTCTGTTAGTTACCCATTCCATGGTCCATGTAGAATGTTCAAACCAATGGTGATGTGTTAAAAGTCAGTAAATCAACATTTACTATTGCAAACGCGATATTCGGTGGACCTTACCTCACGAAATTGAGTTTCTACGACGGAAATTAACGATTGGTAAATATTTTACGAATGATTTATACCTTTTATACGTATTTTTAGGTATTGAAAGAATAAAAAATGCCTTAAAACATAGTAACGGATATTTGAAATTAATATACTCGAAAATCCTATTTCTTAGAAAGGTATTTTAAGACATTTTGCAAGAAAATATCATGATTTAAAATCATCTTCTAAATATTTATAAAAGGTTTTTCGAATTACTGTGAATCGTCTTTCTTTTTTTTTTTTTTACCATTATCCTCATACCGTAATAAAATATAATAATAAACACAGCACTGGATGGTCATATAACAGCATAAAACAAAATAATAATAATCATGTACAATATGTTTAAATGCATTTTCGAAATTCTGGATTCCAAAATTCTGGTAAAAAAAAGCTATGAAATAAAAATTAGATAAGTGGACAAAAGCATATCATTTTTCCTGTTAAATAAAATATGTACAGCAACTGACGTAGACAGCTTTTGTTTGCAGTCTATTAAGTTAGTAAAAATCAGGATAAATAATAAGCTATTAGTTCGAAAAATAAATTGTATAACAGGAGGCAGGGTGATTTTTAATTAAAATTATTAATTTACTGGGGTTCAGTATGCGTAATGAAAATAAATACAATTTCATATGACAAAAACGAGATAAAAAGTTGGTCAAGTGTAATATTTACATTATCTTTTTTATTGTAATATGACATGTTATACTTACATTTTTGTCTATTATAGTTTTGTCAGCGTTTAATGTGTTCACTCTTTCTGGTTTTTAAGTAGCAATCTTTTTTCTGAAAATATTGAATGAAAATTATTATTACAATAAAAAAATAGTAAATAGAACTTATAATTTACATTTTGGTTAAATGTTTTTACCTTTTATTCGGACTTACATCGAAAATAATTACCATTTCTAATTACTTTAAATTGATTGAAGTAGAACGTTTTTTTTTTTTTTGCAGAAACGTCCCTAATATTCAATACCCAGTGATTTCCCACGAGGCATCTTGAATTAGATTTATTATTAAAATACATTTTGTTAACTTTATTTAAATTTCAAAGGAATCAGTTAATAAAGAAAATATGAATTAATTTGTCAGAGCATCGTGCTTTATACTTATCCATAAAAGACTAATAATTTAATCAATAAATTTCCTTAAGTTATTTATAATCATTAAAATGAACTAAAAAAAAATATGATTAAAAAGATTTGCAAGAAAATGAGAACTTTCGAATGCGTTATGTCTAAGTGGCTAAGTGTCAATTTTGCAATTCTTTGAGCAGTAGATAGTATTAACAAATTTCAAATACTATAATTAATTGCTCGTTGCTATCCAAGTAGTATAATAAAACATAGAAAGTGAGTCATCAAAGTGAAAAACTAATTGAAGTGAAAATTCTCTTAGCAATTAATTCATATCAACAATTTTAGCTTCGATGCGAAGCCGAGAAGGTATTAATTTTACTATGTGTTTTTTTTATATTTTTTTGTGTCTGTTACCACTTTTTTCATCTCTCACGAACCGATTTCTTTCATCGATATGTCAAAAGATCACGAATTGTATCTAATCAAAAAATTACCCTCTAAAATTGAAAAAATTTCCCTCGTTCTCCGTAAATGAGGGAAATCTCTAAAAGAATTACAATTATAAAATCGTTAATTTTCGAAATTATTTCAATTTTTTTTACTTAAAACTACCATAACTTTTTCAAAAATGACCATATCAATATAGTTTTTTTTTTATGTCTTTACCTATCATTTGATATATTTTTTTATATATATCTGACCCTTGACCTGCCACTGAGGGGGATTCAAAATGACAACATTTTCAAAAAAAATTAACTTTTTCAACCTAATATTTGAAAGTGTTCCGGAAATACTGACACTTTTATATATACTTTAAATTAAAGCTTATATAATATAATATATTACGGAAACAAAAAATTCGGGCTTTATTTTGTCTTCATGGTGAAAATGGACGCTGTATGCTATATTTGTGTTAAAATTCTCGATTTTATATTTTACATTTTAACTTTAAAATAATATAACTTTTTGAAAAATGTATAGATCATTGTATTTTTTTTAAGATAAGTACTATTTATATTCATCTTTTATGCGACATATTTTTTTTTCAAATTGGACCATTACTCTATATACAGGGGGGTTCAAAACTTAAAAATGCATATAGAAAAATTAACTTTTTCTACTTAAATTTTAAAAGTGTTCTGGACTTACTGACACTTTAATATATGTCTTAAATTAAAGCTTATGTAACTAATACTAATACCTATGTACTTGAATATGAAAAAGAAAACTTTCCGACTTTATTTTGTTTTAATGGTGAAAACGGACATCAAATTTAATAAAAAAATTCTTTTTTATATTTTTAATTTTGTAATGCTATAACTTTTTAAAAAATATATGGATCAATACAATTTTTTTATGATAAATACTATTTATATACCTCTTTTATTCAAAATACTTTTTTTTTAAATAAAACCATTTCCCTTTATATATTTATTCATATATTACACTTATAAATCATAAAACTTATAATCAGGATATAAATAAGGAAATAGGAGATCATGTAGTTTTTGGAATAATCCATCAATTTTTTAAAATTTAACACTATCTGCAGATTTGAATTGAAGCTTTTTTATGATAGTGATTTTAATCGCTCTCAGATATCATTATACTTGACCCAACTGTAGTACGTATCCACTGTGCCGCGACCCCACTGTACTGGTTTTTTTTTTAATCATTGATAAAAGAGTAGAATTTGAAGAATATGTTAGTTTATTTTTTCTTACTTACTACATTTCACTCGTAACATAATGTAATAAATTAACTAATTACTATTTTAAAGCGCAAAACTTGTTAAATTAAAATAAAAAACCTGAACTATTCTCTGAGGCACATTAGGTTTACTCAACACAAATTCTATATTATACTACTAAAAATAATGGGACTTGTGGGATTTTTTTAAGATTTATGAGTAATATTTTTAAATTATGGTTATATATTTGAGCCTTGCTCTTGTTAAGTAAAATATGATATATGAAGAATACTTGATCTCAAAAATAAAGTTATAGATATTAGATGACATCTAAAACTTAGAATTAATAATTTTTCAATTACCAACTATAACTTAAATAATCAACCACTACCTTATGTTTAAAAATTGGATCTAAATGATGTATATTTGAAAATATAATAAAGTTACATCTAACTAAAAAATTCACTAACTTTACAATGAAAAAAGGTCATTATCCTAAGTGTATTACTTATAATATCTAAATTATTATGAAAATATATATTTTTAAAATTTAAATTCTCCTATTACAAAATAGAAATAATTAAATAAATTTAACAAAACTCTTTGATATGTTTAATCGGTTTAGCAAATAATTAAAATTTAAACTAAAATTATTATACTGTACATATTACAATAATTATGTATAACTTAATTGATAATCAGCAAGATGTCTTTGAGTTTTGTTTGATATTTTTTCTTTTATTTTGGCAGTAAATTTATTTAAATTAAACATTTTTCAATTATAACCAATCTTGAGAATATTTTTGATTTTAAAATCTAGAAAGAATAAATAGTGAGGTAGATTTGCAATGAACTATATCATTCTTTCTGGAATCAATTTTACTGAATATAACAATTGGATTTTAAAATATAATTAGTTTGAAGAATTGTATGAACAGTTATAAATAAGTTATTATGAAAGTTCTAGATAAAGTGGTTTGAATTGAAATGTAAGAAGTAATAAAACAATTTTATATTCTACGAATTTCAACTTAAGTTTATCAATTCACTGAATACTGTTTGAAATATTTAATTAAAATTTCATTACATTTAAATTCTTTAGTAAGTAAAATATTATGAACTAATTTCACAAGAATAACAGTAATTTATTTTATGAAACGGATCATCGTTTTTTGTACTTAATATACAAATGCAATTCTTCGTAAACAAAGTATTTCTACTGCACTTATACATACACATATTCATAAAAAAAATAGATTTTATTTTATAATTTTTAAATGAATTTATGTTACTGGCATGTGAATAATACAGATGAGAATTTGTTAACGCTAATTTTTTGTTTACATAATAATACAAAAACACCCTTGGGGGTCAACTTGGGGGTGCATTCCCTGAAACAAATAATGTTATTCAAACTAAAATCGGTGTGATATTTACAATGGTATACTATTTAGCTGCATGTAATTACATCATGTACACTATTGGTTTTGCAACATAAAAATAGTTTCTTATAATTTTATTCAACAAATTTCTATTAAGTAAAATTAAAACTATATTAAAAATATTATTAATTTAAAAAAACTAAAAAATATTAAACTCAAAGCCACAAAAAATTAATGAAAATTTCTATTACCTCTTTTTTGTTAATTCCATTCATTTATAACTATAAGCATAAGCAATAAAATATTTAACTAGTTTTAAAAATAAACGTTTTTAATTATATTTTTATAAATATTTTATAGAATATATAAACTATTAGAAAATGTTTTGATAAAAAAATAATATAATGAAGAGCATTTTATAAGATTTTAATGAATTTATATTCATCGGTATTTTAAATATTAAGTCAAATTTAACAATAACTAGAAAAAACAATAAATAAAAAAAGTTCCTGAGATTATTAAATACATGAAAGATAAATATAGTGAAATAATTACGATAATAAACATTTAAATACACATTAGTCATCGTAGTTCTGAAGACAAGTTTTTTTTTATCGAACAGGCAGAACAAATCATTTCTTTTTAATTTTACCTAGTGTTATAGTTTATATGGTTTAAACAAACCATATAAACTAAGCATTAAATTGTGAATTGTTTCAATAGGATTTTTATAAATAAAAAAAAAATTGAATCATACTAAATGTTAGTACTTAAATATTTTATTACAAAACAAATTATTAACTAATTAACATAAATTTTATCTTCGTTTCAAAATATACTTATACAAATAAAGCACTGAAAAAAAAATAATAACAAAACAACTAATATATTAATTTTTTTTTATAGTATTAATATATACAAATATAAACTAGTTACTTTCAAAATGCATTGTATTTAAACTTCTTAAAGTTAATAATTAAACGACATAGTAATAAATACTTAATTCCTTATTGATTCTTTGAATTTAATTAAAATTTGATTGTTTAAAAAAATCTTAAATTTACCAATGTATTCAGGAATTATTTTGGGTTATTTACTTAGTAAAAAAGAAATCAATATATAAGCATCTTCATAGAGTGTAATATTAATCGGATTTAACCATCTTTATCACTTATTTGTTTTTATATAAAATAATGTCAAAGTTTCTTTAGAAGCTGCGTGTTTGTTTAATTTATAAGTTTTTAGACTGCTGTCATCTCTGCATTTATACATTTTTGGTTAGGTTATTTATAACACCTATATTTTAATAACATTATACTTGATCGAGAAACAAACTTGAGTATTCGGAAAATTCCGAACAAGAATGAAACAAAATAAACTACAAACATTTATTATTATGAACTCAAAATGAAATCATTGAACCATAACATTTTGATAAAAATATCAAATGTATAAAAGAGTACAATGTATAATATTCAATTTAGTCGGAAAATCGTTTCAGTTCTGTCTAAACAGCATAATAAAATACTCGGGTACTTCTATTTGACTGGTAATCAAAGAATATGATAAATTTGTAATAAAATAATAATATTTTATAAGTGTCAGCGTTTTCAAAAATTGAATCTTTTGTTA